TTTTTTTATTATTATATGATCGGCAAGTTGGCTATTAACGAGTTTGGCTACTAGGGATCAAACTTGCATGCATAGGCATAAATAAGCATATACTTAATTTTAACACAACATAGATTAATAATAATAATCCAGCTAGCATACGTGGGCTCTCATGAGGCGAGAAGCATGAGAAAATGCAGGCCTTCCACTTATTTAATCCAAGTATGATGACAGAAGCCTAAGAATTTAAGAATTAATGGTCAAAATTAAAAGAATTCAATTATTAAATTATTAAATATAAACAAATTAACATGGAACAAGAATTGAGAAAGAGGTTCAATGAACAAGTATTGTAATTTGTTCCCATTTTAAAAGAATTCACTCCAATCTTCAACAAGAAACAAGTGGAGTATAATTGACTCTATCATGATAATTTTATTAAATCACAATGGTCGATACGTATAAGATAGATGCATTTAATTTTCCTTTTAAAAAAATATATTGCAAAAGGGCATGATTCTTTGCTAGAGTCTCAAGTTTGTGGGAGATCCAAAAATTACTCTCTAGTGAATTTAATAATAATGAAGGAACGATGTTCAAAAAAAATAGTAATGGAAGAACAAAAGAAGTAGACAAGAATGCTTGGTGTAAAATACCTGTCAAATCCTTTTTTCATGTATAATTTTTGTTCAAAATAACATTATTTCAATATTGTTTTCAATTTTTTTCAAAATAATATGGTTTCTATTTGAAAAACCGAAACAAAACTTGTTTTGTTTTAATAAAAAAAACTAGAAACATTAATTTGGAATAGATTAACCAGACATTGGTACGAGGAATATGAGTGTTACCTTGGAATATTCGTGCAATATTCCTTTTCATAATGCAGCCTGCGTGTGATGCACGTTGTGTTTCCCAGCCATGAGTGAAAAACAAAGTTCGTGAGATATTGGCCAAGAATCATGCTGGCTTTCCTGTGAAAGGGACAAAGTGACCACTGGTAACCATCGATGGAAAGCTACAAACATCATGCATCTCTTCCCACTATGAATCTCATGCAGCAAAAACCCTTTTTTGAAATCAATACCTGCCGCACTAAGGAAAGAAGTTATTTTTTTTATTAGTTCCCTTGAATTTCTTTCAATATCTTGCGAGAAACAAATATTGATAATAATAAAAACTCTCAAGAAAGTGTCATGTAGTTCATGAAAATTGGATATAAAGCTAACATGATTCGATACTTGTGCAAGAGATTACGCCAAATGTTACAATGGTCACAGCATGAAATCCCCATTCGGAATGCGATGTTAATAACAGGGAAAAGCTCATCATCTGCTGGATTTTATCAAACTTTCATTGTATATATATATTTGGATCAGACATCGATCAAGTGGAGATTACAGAAATATATATAGTCTAAGAACAGAGACTTTAAGCCAAGAAAAAGAGAGGGTGCATGCTCCTTTCATCACGGAACATTATTAATTAGAGAAACAAAATCTCCACGCAGCAACCAAGAAGTTGGGTTCGGAGAGAATTATCTGAGAAGCTTGCTTTCATCATCTTCTCTTCTCGATCCCACCTTGCTTGATCATGCAGTACTCCTCCTGTTCATGGGGGTATTGGACTTGTTGCCATGCTTGTTGTGGCGTAGAACTAAGCTTGTGGGGTGGTGTTTCTGGTTTGGATCATCAGTGATCATGACTTCTCGCTTTTGAACCTCCAAGGGAAGAGCAATACTTTTCTGGGCGGCGGTGCCGGTGTCTACTTTCACAGATTGTGGACGAGGAGGGTAGAAGAAATCTGTAGGGAAGAAGTTGTATTGAAGGCCAGCCATGGAATCAAGAAACTTGATGGTTCTTGAGAGCGAAGGTGCCTGAAATCTTGGCAGGAAGTGGCTCCCCCCGCCGCCATATTTATAGATGGCAGGAAGTGCCTCGCTCGGCTGCCATATTTATAGAGAGGGAGGGGAGCTGTAACGTGAAAGCATTTTAGTACTTGGCATTGGTTTAGTGTGCTGAGAAAACAACTTTTACTTCGAATTTTAAGGAAATTGTCTATTTGTCTCCATATTTTATTTGTGTTTCCTTTTATTTTTATCAATTTATTTATTTATTTATTTCCAATTTGAGAGTCTTATGTTAATTCGATTTGTTGGGCATTATATGTCTCCTTCCTGGAGTAGGTCAAGACGGTGCCTGATGGGCTAGGCCCATTTTCATTCCCTAACTCGAGTCCAACTCCAAGTAAACCGGGCTTAAAAACATATGAGCCGGTTTGGCTGGGAGGACCTACTGGGCCTAGCAGGACAAGGTCCTGTCCAATTCATACCCAACATCATAGACATGAACAGAAAACCCTAGCCCATCTCAACGAGACATCTCTTGCCCCTTTCCTCTCAAAACCCCCCAAAACCCTAACCCTATAAATCCGCATTTCCACCTCTAAACCCTTCTCCTTCACTAGCCTCCGTCAAAAACCCTTGAAGCCAGGAACTCAGACACTCCCGGTTTCCACCATGTCTGAAGTCGAGCTTTCTCGTTCTGAGAAGAAAAAACACAAGAAAAAAACCCAAGAAACTGAAACAGACACGAACCCCACAGACGCTGGCAAAGATTTCATGATCAAACCCCAGAACTTCACCCCAACAATAGACACTTCACAGTGGCCAATTCTTTTGAAAAACTACGACAGACTTAATGTGCGAACTGGACACTACACTCCACTTCCATCTGGTCACTCACCTCTCAAGCGTCCACTTGCTGAATACATCAGGTATGGTGTTATGAATCTTGATAAACCAGCAAACCCATCATCACATGAAGTTGTTGCTTGGATTAAGAGGATTTTACGTGTCGAAAAAACTGGTCATAGTGGTACCTTAGACCCTAAAGTTACTGGTAATTTAATTGTTTGCATTGATAGAGCTACTAGACTTGTTAAATCCCAACAAGGTGCTGGGAAAGAGGATGTTTGTATTGCTAGATTGCATGATAAGATTGCTGATGTTACGAAAGTAGCCAGAGCATTAGAGACACTTACTGGAGCGGTGTTTCAGAGGCCGCCCTTGATTTCTGCTGTTAAAAGACAGCTTAGAATTAGGACAATTTATGAGAGTAAGTTGTTGGAGTATGATGCAGATAAGCATTTGGTTGTTTTTTGGATTTCGTGTGAGGCGGGGACATATGTTAGGACAATGTGTGTGCATTTGGGGTTGATTCTTGGGGTAGGTGGGCATATGCAAGAATTGAGGAGGGTGAGGTCGGGGATTTTAGGGGAGAAAGATAATATGGTTACTATGCATGATGTTATGGATGCTCAATGGGTTTATGATAATTATCGTGATGAGAGTTATTTGAGGAGGGTTATTATGCCCCTTGAAGTGATTTTGACTAGTTATAAGAGGTTGGTTGTGAAGGATTCTGCTGTGAATGCAATTTGTTATGGTGCTAAGTTGATGATTCCAGGGCTGTTGAGGTTTGAGAATGATATTGAGGCTGGTGAGGAAGTTGTGTTGATGACTACTAAGGGTGAGGCTATTGCTCTGGGAATTGCTGAGATGACAACTGCTGTTATGGCTACTTGCGATCATGGTGTTGTGGCAAAGATTAAGAGGGTTGTGATGGATAGGGATACTTATCCGAGGAAATGGGGGTTGGGGCCGAAGGCTTCAATCAAGAAGAAGTTGATTTCTGAGGGGAAGTTGGATAAACATGGGAAACCAAATGAGAATACTCCTCATGAATGGATGAGAAATTTGGTTTTGCCTGCTGGTGGTGATTCTATGGTTGCTGGCCTTGCTGCGGCTGCTGCTGACCCAGTTGTGAAGGAGATTGGTGAAGATGGTGAGGGGCACAAGCGCAAATTGGATGAAAGCTCTGATAGCCCTGCTGCTCATGTTGCAAAGAAGGCTAAAACTGAATTAGTTAAAGATGAAGAGAGTGTCAAGGTTAAGAAGGTGAAGGAAGAGCTTGTGGAGGGAAGTGATGATGAGAAAAAGGACAAAAAGAAGAAGAAAAAGAAGAGTAAAGAGGATGGTGAGCTAAAGGAAGAGCCTGTTGTGGGAAGTGAAGATGAGAAGAAAGAGAAAAGGAAGAAGAAAAAGAAGAGTAAAGAGGATGCTGAAGTGGAAAATTTAGTGGAAAAGGAGACTGAGAAGTCTGAGAAGAAGAAAAAGAAGAAGAAAGACAAAGAGGCTGAAGAGGCTGCAACCATTGAGAATGGCAAAGCTGATGGAGAGGTTGATAAAAGTGAGAAGAAGAAAAAGAAGAAGAAGGACAAAGATGGAGAAGATTAGACAAGAAAGTTAGTAACATTTTGATTTAAGTTAGTAATTCTGATTTGCCTGCTTTTGTTAACTTATGGCATCTGCAGTACTGTTTGTAGTTTTTGTAATGTTTTCATGTAGTTTAAGCAGAAACAATTTCCAGAACCGTGGTCTGCTTTCAGAATGGTTTATTTGGCTATAAAATTTTTGTTATATTCTTCACATGTGCAATAAATTTTTATTTTTCTCCTTGGACCATTCATGAAGTTTTTTTATGAAATTTTGTGGCTGTGCTGTTTCATATGAAACTTATATTAATCTTTTCTTTTGTCAATGTAATGTTTCTTAATTCTTTCAAGTTTTCCATTTTGTACATCTTTGGTAGCTTATGAATTTGGGGATTTGTGTGAGAAGGTTGTTTCATGGAGTATGGGGGGTGATTGGTTTGATTTTGCTATGCCAGTGGCACAGAGATACTTCTGATAGTGGTATTCTCAAAGACAAATTTTGGTATTTACATCTTGGGTGCAGGCATCATTCTCTTTTCTGTTTCTTTTTTGATTGGATGAATGGTTTTAGGGAATGAGGTCGAGGAAGCTCTCGGATATTTGCAGATGCAGCCAGGATTGGAGCTTGTTTGCCTTGCAAGCCCTGCATGGATTCCAAGTTCATCTATTCAGAATCAAGATACCGATTTCTGTAGATAGCTTCAGTTTTGGAGCTGCCTTCGAACTGTTTCATGGTTTATGCCGGTCCGATCCACAACATGCTGTCATTCTGTGTAATGCGTCGTTCTGTGGTTTAGCCAAGGAACTTTCTTAGTTTGGTTGCCGATCCACAACATGCTGTCATTCTGTGTAATGCGTCGTTCTGTGGTTTAGTCAAGGAACTTTCTTAGTTTGGTTGCTTTTAGACTGTAATAGATGTTTAAGCGTCTACATTTCTCACCTAGATATGCTACGTTAAGTTTTCCATGACTTGTAGTGGGTTTTGGATTGGACGTGAAATCATCAATTGAGACACATCTTGTTACAGAATAAACACCAGCCCTTGAATGCTCTACATGCGTTGTTCCGGAGGATATATTAACAGAGAACAGATCATGAACCTGCCTTGTCAATTGGATGAAAATAATAAAAGGAAAAAAAAAATCACGTCAGAAAAGTAGAGAGTTTCTTTTTGGATTACACAGGCCAGGGTTATCACCCCGCAACATTCATCAATCAAACAAATATGAAACAAAATTTAGCAGCTCGAAAAACACAAATGCTGTGTTTTGAAAGGGTATGGATCAAATTTGGATGGTAGCCGAGTAAGTTCCATGTAATGCTCTGGGTTCAAATAGGGTTCAAATACAAGGAAGGGCGGTGTGGATGGCTTGTTCAAGACACGATAGCAAAGAGAAGAAACTGTTCTTTACCAGTTCCAGTCTTTATAGTACAAAGAAGAAGCCACCCTTCAAAACTAGTAGTTTCCGCTCCAGAAGGTACACACATTACTCACAGCTGTCTGTCTATTTACTTGAGGGTTTTTTATAGAAAGAAACAAAAAAAAATTTTCTTGGGAATTTCCTTGGTTTCTTGCTTTTCCTACCCTCACATTTCCTTTTTGAAACTCGTCGTTTGCTCCTGCTTCACCTGCTGGCATGGTAATTTGTTATCGTTACTTACAGCTGCATCATGTATCGGGGGTCCAGAAAATGATTACAATACCGTTAGATTTGTAATTTCTTGGGAAAGAAAGTCATTTACAGAATCAAGAAAAAATGGGAGATTTAGTGCAGTAATGTTCACTCTTGTTCTTAATTTTTGCTTCTAATGAGAAGTCAGGAAACTAGGTGGTTTATCATATATTAAGTATTCTGATTGCTGATTCTGCCGAGCTCGAAGAGAATCTGGCCATAAAAACTTACAGAAAACCCTAATCTGCAATGAATAACAACATAACTCTTATTCAGTCTCCACAACAAACATCTTTTGTACACTCACAAGGTTTTAAAAAAGCAAAAATGATAGTAGCCTATACACCTTGACTATCTTCACTGAGTTTTTTCCTTTCATCTTTTGATAGAATGCTATCCCTATATGCATGATAAATCCACTGAGTTTATTACTCCTGTGTGATTATTTAGCATGTGTTACTGATACTACTAAATGAATAATTATGGACTAGCAGCTTCTTGTCGCCGCACCTGCATATTTTTCAAACACTGAGTTGTTAATTCTTTATGACTTCTACTATTTTTAAAAAACAGAAATCAAGTGGGTGCTGTTTGTGTACAAGATTGCTGGCTTTGAACTGATAACAGAAAGAAAACTCAAGGGCTGTGTACTAACCTTAAGAATAACTAGAAGGGCTGCTGTATCATGTGTCTGACCACTCTCCACTTCCAATAGGGGTGACTGCCTCAAAGGCTTCTACAAGCAATGACACTTTTCTTTTCCGAGCTGGTGTCAGTTTAGCAACGACCTGTCGAAGTGCATAATCAAGCATCCATTCATCAGCATTTTTCCTGTCATCCGTGTCTAGGTGCCTTAGATGAACCTTTTCAGCTTCACTTAAAGGGTCCAAGGGCAGAAATCGTGGCTCCTGTTGATTGAATTTTTTCACCTTCTCCAATGCCTTGACAAATCTCTTGAGGAGGACCACCTTTTTCAGATTGCTCCAGTTCTTGTGCACGGCTGGCTTTGGTTTGTTTCCTTCTGTTGGTATTGGTTTTGTCTTTTCTTGTGCACTGATGTTATCAAAATTGAGATGCGATTCTTGTTGATACAATGTGGTGCTCTCCGCTGCTTCTGTGCTTTCAAATTCTCCAAAGCTGTCACCGGTGCGCTTAAAGGAAGATGAGATGAATGGTTTCTCTCCTTCCTCGGGTTTCTTTTCAATATACTCCTGATCGTGGTCTTGAGTTATGTCACTGGCAACTGATTGATCATCAGGCGCGTCATCTTGAATTTCAGGAAGAGGAATTTGGTCAATTGCTTCTTCCACCAGCCTTATGGCTTCCATCTGTTGGAGTTTAATCTTTTGGTTGTCCGCATCATCATTCCTCGATGTTTTCATGCCAACCAATGTGTTGCCATCATCCCCTTGTTCTTCCTTATATGCTCCCTCAATAAGTGTCGCGTTACCTGATACTATGTGCTTATATATCAAGAACCAGAACTTCATATGTTTCTGCTTTTCATGTGCTACATCAGTTGTGCAACCTGGTTCTGATTCGTGAAGCAAGGTGGACCCTTGGAGAAACTTTTTGAGCTTATTCTCTTCTTCAGCAACTTCAGATGATTCCTCTACTGGTGCAGAAATTGTAGATAAAGAAACCACATTGGTATTGGCAGTTGAACCCTCGTTTGGGGTTTGGCCGTCAGGTTCATCTGATTCATCATAAATTCTGTTGTTTTGGTTATTGGTGTCTGAGTTTTGGCTGCTTAATCCTAAATCACGATCATAAACCTCCGAGGCAGAAACTGATCTTGCTTCTTTGGCATCCTCTGGGAGAACTTCCCCATTTATCACAAGTTTCTCGGTAGAAGTTCGTAGAGCATCATCGGTATTTGGCAAAGGCCTGTCACATAACTTAGATTCTGTATCCTCAACCAAACAGTGGTTGACGAAATCAGGTTCATTGTCTTTGATAATGGAATTAGTTTCACCATTACCAAGATTGAGAGCAACAAATTGGTTCAAGTCTGCAAAAGTGTTCTCCAATGACGAAGTGGTTGATGCGATTGTGTCAAGGCTTGATGTCTTACGAAGGGTGATTCCAAAAATAGTTTCTCTTCCTTCTATGGACCGGTTGCAGTCAGAGGCACCATTGCAGGTTTTAACTGGAGTTGTATGAGAAGAAACTTCTATGTTGAACCTTGGCGAAGTACCAACTTCAGTGAGTGGGGTGATGGTCTCAAATGCTCGTACAAGCAGAGCTACCTTTCTCTTTTGAGCTGGGGCTAGTGTAGAAATAACCTGTTGAAGTGCATGATCAAGCATCCATTCTTCAGAATTTTTTCTCTCCTCCAAGGTTTGATGGCGCAGATGAACTTTTTCTGATCCTAGTTCAGCCTCTGCATGTAGAAACCGTGCCTTCTGTGGATTGAAGTTCCTCACCTTTTCCAATGCCTTGACAAATCTCTTGAGGATCAGTATCTTTTTCAGATTACTCCAGCTCTTGGGCATTTGCTGGTTAGACTTGCTTTCCACCCTTGAATGTGCTTTCTCTCTTTCAAAGGCATTATCAGCTTTGAGCCTCAATTCTTCTGGTTCCTGAACTATGCTGTCTCCGTCTGAATCATAGGAAGTCAAGATGCTTAATTGCCCATCTTCACTTTGATCCTTCACTGCAAGCTCCTTGTCTGAAGTGTCACTAGCAATTGATTGATCATCAGATGACTGGTCAGGAATTTCTGCGAGTATTCTATCAAATGCTTCTTGCACCAACTTAATGGCATTACATTGGTAGTGGTGAGTTTTTTCACTGTGTTCATCATGATCTTCCTCATCGTTGCTCTGATCTGTACTGGAAAAATCCTGAAAAGAACCAGATTTGCTGATGCCAGGCAATGTGTTCTCATCTTTCTCTTCTTCCTTGGTTTTTTTATTGAGAGGTGGCTGGGCTCCATTTTCTGTGGCAATACCTGTTGCCATGTGCTGATATATTAGGTTCCACAATCCCATATGCTTCTGTTTTTCCTTCTGAGTTTCGTGGCTGACATCTATGGCGTATCCATGCTCAGAATCTGCACTTGGGAACTGATAATTTCGCACAACATCTTGGTTATTTTCTTCACTGGCTGCTATTTCCTCTTGCAATGGCTTACCGATGGAAGCAAAAGAGACCATGTTGTTGATGTCTCTAGACTTCGCAACTCTATTCTGGTTTAGCCTTCTGGCTTTGTTTAGTTGTTCATCGGCTACACTTGTTGATGCATCAACCTTAGCAGTGTTTGAATGTGAATCGATTTTGAGCACATCCAAGTTCAAATTTTCAATCCCACCTTCATCAGCTTCTTGCTGAAGAACTTGAATGTCAGTGACACCTATAACATTGCTGGTGTCTTTGTCATCTCCACCATGAGCATCTTCTTTCGTTGACTCAGATCTTAGTCCAGCTGTTTTGCCAGTGGAAGAAGATACAGCTATCTTGTCATGAGATGTTTCTAGAACTGCTGAATCTCTACAAGAAACCAGTTGACCTGTCCGAGTTCCCTTCTTTGCATTGCCAGAACGTTTTACTCTTCGAGAGGATCGGCTTTCTGATTTCATGCTTTTTTGTTTCCTTAACAGACGTCGCCTAATTGATACAAAGCGTTTTAGTGGAGGTACATCAGAATGGCGATGGCCGTGAAGTGAGCAATAACTGTATGGACAAACCTCCATAGCTGAATTTCCTTCAGATACCCTGCCTTCTGGTTGCAGCTCAAGATGGTATGGAAACTTGGAGTACTTGATAGCTGAGGAACAGGTGGCTTTCTGTATGCTCGAGTCTGGAATTTGAGAACGCTTCTTCATGGATGGTCTCTTTGTTCTTATGCTAGCCACTTTTGTTAAGATCCTTACAGGTCTCAAAGTGGTAGTTCTTGTCATGACTCTCATAGAATTGTTACCAGGAGAAGCTAATTTTGGCTTTGAATTCCTTGGTATTTTCCTATTATCATCATTACCACTCAAAGCAGATTCAAAATTGTGAAGACTTGCCTGAAGCTGAACGTTTCTCCCGTCAAAACTTGCCTTCGAAAAATCAGGTGGTATATCAGCATCCCTGGCTAAAACCATGGAAGAACGATTGGCAATCTTGATTGATGTTGACTTATTCAGTTTTTTCTTCAGGTCAGTGCCTCCAGGAGATATCCTCATCAAAGGTCTCCTGAATTTTGTACTAGACAACCTCGTCAAACTCTTTGCAGGTTTAAAACTAGATCGCCTCGCCAAAGTTCTTGCTGATTTCTGCATGGGAAAGGCAATAATTTGGCTTATGATATTTAAAATCTCCATTACTTGGAACGTTCCTACCAACACTAGTTTTTTTATAAAAAAAGAAGGAACTTGCCTGCAAATTCTCTTTCTTTGCAGTTGAAGAAGTGGTGGTCCTCATATAATTTGGTGACATGCGTGAGTGATGCGAGCTTGCTACATCACTAGACAGAACAGAAACATCACCAGATTTGACTTTAGATTGTCTCGTGATGAGTTTCAAGCTTGGCAATCTTGCAAGCTTGATTGATCTTAGCTTCTTTACTTTCCTCTTCAGCTCTCTTCCTCCCCCATTGCTAGTATCTTCATTCTGATAACATGATGATGATGATGATCCACTGCTCATAGATGAACTTTCAGACAAGGAGGAACAATCAGAATCAACTTCAGTTCCAAGCTTTGCAGCCATCATGTTCAAAATCTTTAAAAAAAGAAGGAAGGATCTGGTTCCCTGAGTCAAGAGAAAGGAATAACAAGAGCTTTTTCTCTCTGTTCTTTAGATTTCAGATGGACAACACTAGTTTTTGGAGGATTTGCAAGGTGCCACCCTGGATATAATAGTTGATATGTGCTCAAAGAAATCACGGACATTCCAAAGTTGTGCTGTGGCCGTGTTTGGTTGGTTTCTTCTTCTTGACTTGATTTTTTTTTTTTGTAACTTCAACTGTTAAGAAGGATGTCATGTTTGAATGTTCCCATTGACTTGGCTTCGATAAATTGACTGATTCTTCCTTCTGGGGTATACCATAGTTAATAACTTCGTTTTGATTTTTTTTAAATAAAATGATATTAATTTGAACAAATGTTTTTTTTAAAAACTTAAATGAATCTTGTTTTGGAAAAATCTTTTTTAAAAAATATTCTTTAAGTTAACAGACCATCAAGTCAATTTTTAAATTATTTTAAAATAAAATCTGATTTAAATTAGATTTTAAAATCAATAAATTACCAAGTTAACTTATTAAGAGTCAGTTTTAATAAATATAGTTAAATTTTCAGTATGGTAGGTGTTAAAAATTTATTTATTTTGTTTAAAATTAATTTTTTAATATATTTTATTTATTTTAATGTGATATTAAAAATAAATTTTAAAAAATAAAAAAATAATAAAAATAACTAAGGTAGTATTGTACGGTGCGAATATACCAATATGAAATCCTAACAGGATAAATAGTGGCTTTTAGATGTCTCATTCAGCTTGTATAGCTGTAAAATTAATTGGGTGGACCCAAAAGCACAAAGAACCACCACATGCTTTGCCCATCACCATCATCAAGAGAGGCCCAACCGGAAAAAGCATCATCGCTGGTTCTCTGTGCTTCTTATTATATCCAAGAGTGACAACCATACACCGTACAAGAACTGATATACAAAAGAAATTGATTCCACAGATTTTGACGGCCATTTACAAGGAGGAAAGATTCAAAGAAACTGGTCATTTTCAAGATCTATGGCTGTTCTGTCTTTTCAATCAATAAAAACTTAGGTCTGCGGTTGCGTTAAGGTGAAATTATTTTTTTAATATTTTTAGATTATTTTAAAATATTAATGTTAAAAAAATAATTTTAATTATATTTTTAGGATGTTTTTGCATTTGCAGAAGAAACTGCGCTTTATAGAGTTTTGAGATTTGTTTTTGTTTAAAATTATTTTTTTAATATTAAAAATAAATTTTAAAAAAATTAAAATATTATCTTAATATATTTTTAAATAAAAATACTTTTAAAAATAATCAACAATCAAATATAAAACACTGCCTTATTGGAGTAAGCTAAGCTGTCAATTAATTGATATCATATACATGGCCACATGATCGTAGATGAGTTTTCTTATTATCTTAGGTTTAATTTTGATAAAAAATACAATTCAGTCATATTTATTTTGATTAGAAATGAATGGTTTTTTTTAGTATGTGAAATTGAGAATTTTGGTTAAAAAATGGATGAGATTTTTTGAAAAAAAGTTCAAATTGTCATAAAAATCAATTAAAAGAAAAGGTTATAAATAAACATGAAAATACAAGAAATCAATAGCGGTTATTTTAAATTAAAAGGATTAACTAATTATTTAATTAAGAAAAAATTAAGCCGTAAATAAAGATGAAAGTAAAAGAAAGTGTTGTTATTGGATTCTTTGAACCGAGGAGAGTGTCAGATGGTGGGGCCATGAAAGGAAGAAGAAACCGCGTCGCACGTTCCGGGCCTAATTCAAGTCCAGCTTCAATTGTCGGAGATCGCACGGTGGTGCTGGTGCTGGTGCTGGCGCTGGTGCTGGCTTGGCCTTCTAGTACTCTTTTTCCACATCTAACACTTCCTCTATGTTGCTTAATTTCCATCTAAGAATGTTTGTTAATCTAATTAATTAGAGTATTTTTTTTAATAGGAGATCATATTTATTTGTAGGTGGTCAGATTTTGATCCTCCAAGTTACCTGATGATCATGGGATCCAAGACTGTAAGCAGGAGAAAGAAGAAAAAGATCTAGGAAAATATTTGGGATTTCCGCGTATTCAAGGTAGAGTTAAAAGTGCTCATTTTAATTTTATCATTGATGAAATTAGTGGAATGTTAGTTGATTGGAAGGGTAAATTGATGAACAAAGCATGAAGGGTTTCTCTGGCAAAATAAATCTTGAAACTATGCCTATTTACCCTATGCAGAACATGTGGTTGCCTAAGCTACATTCATGCAAATTGATAAAATTTCAAGGCAATTTATTTGGGGTAACAAGGAGACGAGAGGGAGCTGGAATTTAATTAATTAGAATATGGTTACTCGTCCTCGCATCAATGGTGGTTTGGGTGTGGGGGAAACAAGGTTTGGAAATATATCTATGCTTGGCAAACTGATCTGGCTTCTCCTGAATAGCCCTTGTAAATTGTGAAGAATAAGCTGCTGGTTCAGCTTCAAAACTATTCTAACTCCAGTTCTTACAGCTGGAAATCCATCATTCGAGCTCTTAAACATTTGAGGGAGGGATTCATGGTAAGGCTTGATACTAGAAATGTGTAGATCTGGTATGATATATGGCTGGAGTTTGGGAGCTTAGTGTCAATTCTTCCTGTAGCGAATATTCGTGACACAGACATGTTGGTGAAGGATCTTTGGGTTGACGGCAATGGAACTTGGAGTCATTATCTACGGTAATTCCCAGTGATATTCGTTTTGGGATCTTAGCTGTCCCAATTCCTAGAGAGCGAGATTTGAAGGACTATGATTTGGAAAAAATCAATTGCTGGAACTTGTACTCCTCAACTTGGGTATACTTGGCTTCTAAATAGATCTAGATATATCGAGGATGATATAGGAAAATGGCGATGGCTAGTGAAGCTTAAGGCTGTGGAAAAGGTCAAACACTTAATTTGGCCCATCTTCTATGGTGTTTACCAAGAAACACACTTCGATTTAGGAGGAGGTAAACGGACAATCAAGTATGTCCTCGCTGCCAACTTGATACTTGGCTTTGTGTTAGGGATTACGGATTGCAGAAGAGATTGGGAGGTTTCGCAGGAACTTGGTTTCATTAGAGCAACTAATTTTCTTGACGGGAATATTGTTGACTGGATTATTCAGCTAGAGAATTCAGACCAGAGTCATCTGTTTTGTTCGGCTTTATGGTGGATTTAAAGGCAGGGAAGTTGTTTTGCTTTCGGAAACCACTATAAGGTGATGTTTGGTTGAGGAGAGGACTGTCTGGAGAACGGTTGCTGATACTTATATGACCTAGGTGTTTGTTTACGTAGTTACTGTTGCGGTTGTGACTGTATTTTAATTAAAATGTAATTTATAGTAGTTTGATAATAATAAAAAAAATAATTTATTATTTATGATTTTATATGATTTTTATGTTTGAAATGTAGATAATGAAAAAAAATAATTCTGCTTTCTATGCACTGTACACATTAATTATATTATTCACTAAACAATATAATTAGTATGAACAGTATATATTAATATACTATTTATATAAACAATGTAAAAAAATTGCATTATTCACTTAAAAACAATTAATAATATAATTTATTTACATTGTTTACTTATCAAATAAGCTGTTTAGTCTTTTTTATCCCTTTATTTCCACCGTAACAAAAAAATAAAAAGGAGAACTACGCTGCAGCTTCTTGGTTTTGATTTTAAGACTTCGAGGTTTTTCCTCAGATTTCAAAAAACAAAAATTTAGATAAAAAATATTTTTTATATTTTTTTATATTTTTATATTTTAATTTTAAAAATAATTATTAAAAAAATAATTTAACCAACAATTGCTACTGTAATTCTAAATAGGCTCTAAATAATAAATAGTTTGTGTATAACCTATGCAGTGAAAGCTATTATTCAAGAAAAGAAAACATAAAAAAATAGTATAAGTCTATAATTCCTAACTCTATATATAAATATTTAATTTTTTAATAAAAAATATTAAAGTTTGAAGATATAATTTATATTATTTTTTATGTAAAAATTAGTGTTTAATGTTAGCCTAATTAATACACATGTCTTGATAAATTAGAAATAAATTAGAAATGAACTAACATATGAATAGATATGAGGTCCTACATACTATTTATGTATTTAATTATTTTATTTATTGTAGCAATTATTTAAGACTATACTCCACAAGTAATTTTTTTTTGATAATCGGTTATAATTACAATTACAAAAAAAAATCCCTAGAAAAAACACACCGTGGACTCCCTCACTTATTTTTTTTTTTGGTCCTTTTAGTTTTGTTTTTTAATTTCAGACACCAAAATCTTTCTTTCAAATTTATCCTTAAAAATTACTTTAAATGGAATTTTGCTGTAGAAGTTTATTTTAAATAGCATATTATAGGGTTCATAAGAAGTCAAAAAAATGTTCCTAACATAATTGATTTTATTAATTAAAAAATCAAAGTTTTGGAGACCAAAACTGAGGGTTAGAAAAATTCAGCCCTTCTATTTTTATTTTTTGTACGTGACGGTGAGGTGCATCTTTTTAAATTTCAGTCCTCAAAGTTTTTTGATTTTCCATATTTGATCCTTTTTTAAATTTCAATCCTCGATTTAATCTGCTAGATCAAACAGATCAGGCAAACTTCAACACGGTTTCAACAAGCAAGGGCTACATCGCGGGGTCAAGTCAAATTAACAAGAGCAAGAGAAACTATACTAGCAAATTATTTTGTTACAATTAGATTTTTATCTTTGTTTATTCAAAAAAATATTTAAGTATAATTAAATAAAAGAAATTAAATAGAATGATGTGGCACAAAATTGTGTTTTGTCTCAAGGTTTTTGTTAATAATTTTTTTTATCATTTATTGATATTTAATTATTGATTAATTTTAATAAATGCTAGCAGGTTTCAATTCACAATTGAAATGTTTTCATTTTATTTTTAAAAATCTTAACAGCAACCATACATTTTTTATATTAAAATTAAATTTTAATTATATTCATAGCAAAACCGGGAACTTATTTGGTAATGCAATTAATAATTACTTTTTAAATAATTTTTCGTGTTAAAATATATATTAATTTTTTTTATTTTTAAAAAATTATTTTTAATATTAATATATTAAAATAATTTTAAAATATTAAAAATATATTAATTTGAAGTAAATAAAAAATAATTTTTTTAAAAATATTTTTAAAATATAAAAATAAATAAGCAAATGCAATTCCCGTAAAAAGTGTTTTTTGAAAAAATAAATTACTATCTTGAATTTCAAAACTTTGCAAATCAACCATTTCTTGTTTTAAAATTAGTATTTAAAAAAAAAAAACTGAAAAAACCTCCTGTAATCATTGTCGACCCCATGCAAGACTTCCTTTTCCATTTCCAAAGCAAGCGTCAAACAGCAAGCGCATTAATAAAATGAAAGAAAGATGGAAAGAAAAGAAAAGATTGTTTCTTCGGCTACACAATCGATTGCTTTCTAAAATCCAAAAACAAAATCACATCAATGAATAAAACCAGGGAAAATAAACAATACAACACGAACAAATCAATCTTTTTTTAAGAAATTTACAGGCAAACCACAAACCAGCCTTTTACAATGTCTTGTATTGTCCGCCTATTGAGTGATTGATTATCAGTAAAGTTTGTCATTGCTTTATCTTCCTTTGCCTGCAAAAGCCACTTGTCATTGTCAGATCCATCATCCCCTCTCTACTCCCTCTTAACGTAACCGTCTGATTTCCTTATCTTCTTTCCACATTTCCCAATATGTCCCGTGATTCCAATCTTTGTGTTTATTGTTTTTATTTATTCTACCCTTTCTCTTTCACTCTCAAAGTCTCTGTCTTTCCTTCTCTATTTGGCTGAAATATGTACGGTCTTCCCTTTCTTGGGTTTCTTTCTTGAATTTGGTTTATCGGGTTTTATTAGCTTTTGGGTTTGTTTTTTAAGTGGATTTTGCTATTTATTTGGTGGTGATATTGAGACCCTTTTGTTTGTTTTGTAGTTTGATTCTTGAGGTGGATGTAGTTGAGTTGTTCGTTTTTTTTTCCTTTCATTTGATGGTTCTTAGGGCTTGGTTATTGAGAACCCATTTGGCTAGCTTGGCTGGTGGCAGTCTGGAATTTGAAGATTCTGTTTTTCCTTGTTGAGACAGGACTGGACACGATAAAAAAGGTTGGACTTTGTTACGTAAAAATATCTCCTTATTTTGTGATAACCAGTTTGTTTGCGTTAAGGATTGCATCCCTTTACTCTATTTGCTCTACTGTCTCTATATTGCTATCTAGACTGAGGAGAGACAAATTCAATTCTTTTATTGTCCTTTTCAGTCTCATTAGGATCATCTCTTGCCATATAGTTCCTTCACAATTGTGAAATTTGATACCTGGTGACCTATCTATTGTAGTTGCTTCATCTCTGTTTCTTACGAGCTAATTTTGTTTTGAGCTTTGACAAGAGAAGGCCCCCAATTACATAACTTTTTTTTCTGTTGGTTTTGGTCAAGATATGGATATAAGCAATGAGGCCAATGTTGATCATTTCAAAATTGGACCTTCATCAATCATTGGTAGGACAATTGCTTTCAGAGTTCTATTCTGCAATTCAATCTCACATTTTAGGCATAAAATCTTTCATGTGCTGTTGAATTACATTTATAGATTTGGTGACCTCGTGGCACCTATGTTTTCATGGTTTCATCCAAGGAATCCACAAGGGATATTGGTCATGATGACGATAATTGCATTTTTATTGAAACGATATACTAATGTTAAGTTGAGGGCAGAAACAGCCTATAGGAGGAAATTTTGGAGGAATATGATGAGAACTGCGTTGACATATGAGGAGTGGTCTCATGCTGCTAAGATGCTCGATAAAGAGACCCTAAAGATGCATGAATGTGATCTTTACGATGAAGAACTAGTCAGGAACAAGCTTCAAGAGCTCCGCCACCGTCGCCAAGAGGGATGTCTTAGAGATATAATCTTCTGTATGAGAGCTGATCTTGTAAGAAACCTCGGAAATATGTGCAACCCAGAGCTTCACAAGGATAGGCTTCAAGTGCCCAAGCTCATAAAGGAATATATTGATGAGGTCTCAACTCAGTTAAGAATGGTTTGTGAGTCCGATTCAGAGGAGCTTTCACTGGAAGAAAAGCTTGCTTTCATGCATGAAACAAGACATGCTTTTGGGAGAACAGCATTGCTTCTGAGTGGAGGTGCTTCTCTTGGAGCCTTTCATGTGGGTGTGGTGAAAACACTGGTGGAGCATAAGCTTGTGCCCCGTATAGTCGCTGGTTCTAGTGTTGGGTCCATTATGTGTGCAGTTGTTGCCACCAGGTCATGGCCAGAGCTGCAAAGTTTTTTTGAGGATTCCTGGCACTCATTGCAGTTTTTTGATCAATTGGGTGGAATTTTCACTGTTGTTAAGAGGGTCATGAGACAAGGAGTTGTTCATGAAATCCGGCAGTTGCAATGGATGTTAAGAAATCTTACAAGTAATCTTACATTTCAAGAAGCTTATGACATGACAGGTCGAATTCTTGGGATCACAGTTTGCTCACCCAGGAAGCACGAGCCCCCTAGATGCCTTAATTATCTGACTTCCCCTCATGTCGTTATATGGAGTGCAGTCACTGCTTCTTGCGCCTTTCCTGGTCTTTTTGAAGCTCAGGAACTAATGGCAAAGGACAGGAGTGGAGAAATTGTGCCATATCACCCACCTTTTAATCTGGATCCTGAGGAGGGATCAGGTGCGCCAATGCGTAGGTGGAGGGATGGTAGCCTGGAGATTGATTTGCCAATGATACAATTGAAAGAACTATTCAATGTCAATCATTTTATTGTTAGTCAGGCAAATCCTCACATTGCTCCGTTGTTGAGACTGAAGGATATAGTGAGGGCCTATGGAGGTAGCTTTGCTGCCAAGGTACGCAGACATTGCTTCAAGCTTACATTTTATGCTGCCTTAATTGCTCTTGGTACATGTTTATTATTATGTCTGTCATTGAATGTCGAAAGCCTTCCCAAGATGCTCACTTTTCTTTTTTGTCGCTGGGTTTTCCCAGGGTTGTTGTTACAGCAGAAATGCTTATGTTTGGTTCCCTTGCCTGGATGGTGTATGAGGAAAAAGTTGTCCGCCAATTTAAATTATTTGGACCAATATCTTATGGATTTTAACACTCCAGCTAATCATTATCATTAGTTATCTTCGTATTTCATATAAAGCTATTCTATTATTTAGAGGCTGGCTAAAACTCTTCATAAATCACTCATGACATGTGAACTATTTGCACAGCTGCATGTAACAGATTTAAGTAATGTGGTCATGTTTGCTTTGCAGTGGCTTAAGATCTCGTAACTAGTGATTCTAGTGATTGAACTGAAGGAAGAGGGATTCGTGTTTCAATTGGGGTTGGTTGAATACGTGTTAGGGAATGCAGAGGATTGACTTCTTTCCTCAACTACATGTGTTCTTTGTTGGTGTAGAGTTAATTGTTCTAGATGTAGGTTTTGATTATGATATATATAACAATGCAATACATGTAGCTTTCGTGATCCTCTAAGGGGTTAGCTTTTGCAAACATAAGGTGTACTAGCATGGAGATACTTCAGTTATATGCTTGTTTCTTAGCCCTTGCTTGAAGTTGAGTGCTTCTGTTTCATATGTTTTTGCCTTTTGTCTTTTACAGTTCTGATGAAATGAAAATAACTCATTTTGGTGTTTAACTTTGTAGCTTGCTCATCTTGCTGAGATGGAGGTAAAACATAGGTGCAATCAGGTATTGGAACTTGGTTTTCCATTAGGTGGACTTGCCAAGCTTTTTGCGCAAGATTGGGAGGGTGATGTCACTGTTGTTAATACCGCCACTCTCGCTCAGGTACATGTCAAATATAGGCTTTACACTCTAGTAAGGTGGCAGTTTTAAATAATGATAAAAATTTAAAATGGGACCTGGAATTGAGGTGTCCATGTAAGTTTCTAAAAGGAATGATGATATCGAAAGTTCATCAGTCTGGACATTTCTGATTCAATTCTGCACAACGTACAGCATGTGAATTAATTAACATTTTTCTCCAGCCCATTGTTTAAAAGAAAAATAAAAGAACAAAACAGAACAGAACCTACTCCAAGTGAATTAAATGACAATCTTTCCCATGGTGACCGACTGGCTGCTTGAATTCAATTCTTGATTATCATGCAGTACTCAAAAATTATACAAAACCCAACTCATGTGGAACTTCAAAAGGCATCCAACCAAGGCAGAAGGTGCACGTGGGAGAAGCTTTCTGCCATAAAAGCTAATTGTGGCATTGAGCTTGCTCTTGATGAGTGCGTGGCCATTCTGAACCACATGCTTAGACTCAAAAGGAGTGCTGAGAGGGCTGCTGCTGCTTCTCATGGCCAAGCAAGCTCTGTGAGCACATTGAAATTTAGCGCATCAAAAAGAATTCCTTCTTGGAATTGCATTGCTCGAGAAAACTCAACAGGCTCACTTGAAGAAGACCTCCTTGTTGATGTTGCTTCCACATTCCATCAAGGAGTTGGTGTGGCTGCCGGAACTTCGACTGGTATGAGTTTGAGAACTCAACGTAACCTACATCATGATGGAAGTGATAGTGAATCTGAAAGTGTAGATTTGAATTCTTGGACAAGATCTGGCGGGCCTTTGATGAGGACTACTTCTGCAAATAAGTTCATTGACTTTGTCCAAAGTCTGGATGTGGACTCTGAGCTCACCAAAGGTTTTGTGTGTCATCCTAACTCTCCTGGTGCTCAGATGGGAGACAGGGATTTATATAATCAGATCTCCAGATTGTCAACCCTAGATAGAAACTCAGAAAGTGAATTTGATCCGAGAGATTTTAGTAATAGAATTTCTACGGGTGGTTCTAGCATTAAAGTCACTGAAGGAGATCTTTTGCAGCATGAAAGAATCCTTAATGGGTTTGTGCTGAATGTTGTAAAGAAAGAGGACATGGCACTATCCAACAGGGTCCACGATAATGAAAATCACAATAGTGAAGTTCCTGAATGTGTTCAGCTTGATTGTCCTGAAAAGGACATGGATGATAGCTCATCATCAGACTCTGCTGCAGATGACGATGATAATCCCTCCCCAACAAATCCCTGGCACAGAACAGCTTCTACTCTTAGTCACACAGATGATCCTGTCATTCATGATGTTCAGGAGAAGCATGTCGTGGATGGTTAACTTTGAGTAACTATTTGATTACCCTACCAAACCATTGAGTGGAGTCGATTCCCAGGTTACTATTGATCAAACGTTTGCCCAGTCACAGGTGGAGTAGAAAATTGATTTTCAGACAAAAGACTTAGAAGTGAATTATAAAGAGCAGTTCAAAGCAATCCGCATGCATCAAGATGTTGCTGTTGTATACTAAATCTTGCACATGCTGCGCCACAATTGTAATCCTCACACTTTTAAGCAAATGATAAGGTTTTTGCCTACCTCTCCCTCTCCCCTCCCTCGCTCTCTCTCACAAAGCATTCATAAATGAATGTGTGCACGCTTATGTGTCATAAACACCATGAAGTTTATTATGCTGTGAGAGCCCCTTTCTACCTTTGTGAACTGTATCTTGCCAGTTGAGTCCATTAGCTTGTTTATTTGCCTTAAACTTGATCACTCTTTGCTGCATCAATGCTAATGATCGCGTTTAGTCAATGGACAAAGGAACATAGTTATTAAACCTGTCTGGCCTAGCAGTTTAACGCGAGAAATTTGCGACTTGAAATCAAATTCAGGTCGAGTTTCAATTTAAATCGACTTTAATATTGATTTTGCTAAGCTCAAGTGACTTGATAGATTGACATGTAAATCCTATTTAGCCAGTCAAATCTAGTTCAGACCCGAGTTGGTTATCATGAAGGATTTTTTTTTTTTAAAAAAAGATTGATCTAATAACTACAACTTGACCTGGATCCAGGCCTTCATAATGAATCCTTCAAACTCATGGTATTGTTTACTTGTTGGATAATCTGGATTTGTTAGTTATAAATTCTTTTTTGTAGTTTCTTGAAATTAAATTTGTTGATATAAAAAACAATAAACTAATCCCTTGATCCATGTTAACCATCCTCGACCTAGTAATTTCTTATTCTAAAATTGTTTTCTTTCCTTGAAATTTCCTGTTCTACCCACTTTTGTTCTCCTTCTGTGTTTTTGAAAATAGAAACACGAAAATAAATTGAACAACAACACAAAATTCATAGATTGCTTAAAAAAAAAACCAAGTTTCTTGACTCATTAAAAAGATTAATTATATAGTTTCTGATTGACTAATTAATTTAATCAAACCACAAGGAGGAGGCTATATAGAGCTCAGCTCCTGCTCTGCATTTGGTCAGTCTCTGGATATCTTCCACAACTCTGCATCAATAAAAGCAACCCATGTATCATGTCTGCTTGTTGCCCAATTTCAAAAAGCCCTAACAGGGATTTGCCTCGTGAAAAGCTTGTTTCCAGACAAAGACTGGAATGAGAATATTAAGGTTTTTGATCTTGGTGGGTTAACCTCCTTTTGGAATGCTGTCTTCGTAGAAATGTGGTCTTGGTGCTCTGGGAGTAATATTTATTTTGTTTTTTTGGTAAATTGTCAAGCCGACCATAGTACAAAAAGTAATATAGGTTTTTCCAACTTCTTTATTACGCTTTTAGGATTCATATTTTTCTTTTTCTTTTTAATTTTAATTTTTTAATAAAAAATATTCTACATCACACCACCTAACATTGTGATGCGATTCCTCTTGAAAAGCCGAGTATGAAGCAAATAAAGACTCAATTGTCAATCAACTAACAAGTATGATGCAAATCATTGGAGGAGGAAACTCCAATAAAAATAAAAAAAATAAAAAAAGAGAGGAAGAAACACCATTTTTCCTCTAACCTTTATGCACGTCCGATGACTTTCTCAGGCAGAGGAAAAAGAAGAAGGAAGAATGTCTTAGTGATCCCTGGTTTTCACGTTTCATTCATTGACTTCTATGTTATTGGTACGATGCATTCATCTAATTCCCGGGTCATTATTGTTTTTATATTAAAATATATTAAAATAATAAATATTTTTTTTAAAAAATATTTTTAATATTAATACATCAAAAAATATTTTAAAAAATAATTCAAAGCAAAAAATATTTTTTTTTCAAAAACAAGCTACCATTAAAAAACAAACATCATCTTGTATTTTTTTTGAAACATGGTGTGGTTGAGTGTGATTATTTTTTTATGTGAGACCCACTTAAAAAAAACAAATAAAAACATGTGGAACTTGCTTTTGAATATGACGTTTTGTTTTGTGTATTAAATGAGTTGTATGTTTTTTTTTTGAAAAAAAAAGAAGCTTTACTCTTGAAATATACTATTTCTAATACCTTAAATTGCATTCTCTTTATTTCTATTTTTTTTTAGACTTAGAAACCATTAGTTTTATTTTTCTTTTGTGTTGTAGACACGTGGAAATAGTTTTTTCTTAGTAAATACAAAATCAACAGCCAAATGACACCATTGAAGACAAAATTATTTGAAAGGACTACATGAATAGATGGAGCTATCATAGGGGTTATACTTGCATTGGAAAAAAATGAATGGACCCCATTAAAAGAATTAGAAAGTACAAGGACTCCTGGACTAATTAACGGATTCCCCTATACTCCTTAAATTTTATTTGGCTAGGGAGATTTTGAAATTTAATTTGAGCTGATTTTTTTTTCAAATTAAAATGTATGTTGTTGATTTGAGCAGCTAGAGTGACTTGTATATCAAATCATAGTTTGATTAGCTTAATTAAATTAAAATAAAATCTAAATTAGGTTGATTTCAATATTATTTCATTAATTTATAATGTTATGCTCGTTAGGGGTAATTATTTTTTTATTTGGTTCGGTTTTTATCAAAAAAAATAACCAAACTAGATTTTTAAAAAAAAAATCAAAACCGGTTCAAACCAACTGGTTTTGATTCGGTTTTTATGAAAAAAACTTGTTTGACTAGGTTTTTATCTGATTTTTTTAGTTTGGATTCAATTCAGTTTTTTTAATTTTAGACTTATAAAACTAAAATTGAACCGAACCAATTAATTTTTTAAAATTTTAATCAGTTTAATTGATTTTTTTCAGTTTAATTTTTTAATTTTTTTCAATTTAATCAATTTTTTAACTACCTAAATAGGATTTGATTTGATAATTACTGTTAGAACATTCATCATCGAATGCAGGAAGGAAAGGAGTAGATATCAACAAGTCAAAACAGACAACAAAAAATTCCCTTTCCCTCTCATTCAAGCATCTTAGACCACAAACAATAGTGAGTGCTTGTGGTCCGATGATGCCCACTGAGTTTCCACGACGAAATAAGCCATATCGTGCGCTGTCATAACCCTAAAAACAAAAACAGAGTGAGTAAAACAAAAGGAAGGGAAAAGATTTTTTATATAAAAAATATATGTTATTTATATTTATTATATTTTTTTTATTCTTACTCGAATATCATCACACTATTTCAAAAGATAAAATTAGTCTCATTCAAAGTTTATAGCTATCATTCTTAATAAATATACTTCATAAAGTTTTTATCTTGCAAGAATTTATATTTATTATATATTAAACTATGTTATCATTATCTCCATCTTAATATTATTAGTATTATTTTTTTTTATCATTATTATCATTATTGCATTCGCACTTCTATTCTATCATCCTACTAATTTTATTTTACCATAATGATCTCTCATGTTGGTGGTGATTATCTTAATTTTTACTAATTAATATCACCACAATTATCTTTATTGTTTTTAATATTATTTTAAAAATAAATTTTATTATTATCACTACATTTATTATAAATGCATTAAGAATTTTTTAAATTTCTTATTATTTTTTCAAATACACTATTAAAATTTAAATTCATTCATTTTTATTTCCAACCTTTTATTCATGATAACAAAACACAATACTAGACGTTTTTTAAATTATGTTTGATATTATAGTCCAGTTTTTAACATATTTTAATAAAAAAATATTATAAAAACCAACATTTATCTTACTCAAAAAATACTCTTAATTTATTTATAAACACAAAGAATTCCGTGTGCCTAACTGTTTCCGCGTGCCTCTGTCAGTCGGCGCCAAAAGTGCGATCAATCTCTGCCGTAATTGTGGAACTATTTCTGTCAACTTTCCAACCTCCTCCTACTTGGCTTGGCTTTCCTTCCCACCTACATCTACATCTATATATATATATATATCATCCTACGTCCCTTGCTCTCATAAATGTGTCAAGTTTGAAGGTGATAGGATAATTTTTCTTCTCTTATGGTTGCACTGTGGGCCACCCTCTTAATTTCTGACCTAATTTCAATCGCACTGGGAACCTATCACGGGATTTATGGTAGTTGATCTTCTTCACGGAATATTATATATAAAAGCTTGTCGACTTTTAATTTCCATGGATGCAAAGTGAGAGTGATTTCAAATCATAGTGGTTAAGCTTGATGACGCTTTTATGTTAAAACTTGCCATTCAAAGTTTGATCCATGCTTCGTCAGGATTGAAGTTAAATAAAAAACAAATAATTACTCCATGAATCTCAATTAATTACTCTACCCGAGCTTTTAATAACATGTTTAACATGATTTAATTGAATTAGATTAATTTTTTAATTTTTTTAAAAATAAACTAATATAATTTTAATAATATTTAAGTTGACCTAACAATCCAATAGCATGAAACCTTATCTAGATGAATACCGAACTCGACGCCACAAATATACTTCAAATATTGTAAATATACAAGTGTTCTAGGAAAATTGGGATATTCTACTTGAATTTAGAAGTTAGTCTGTCGCTGGAAAGATTCAATTTCTTCAAAAACTTATCTTTTCACAAGAAGGGTGAGAGGGAGATAGAATTTATGGACCAGATGATAAAAGATGGACAATTTGGGAGCACCACCCATCTCAGCAGCCGGTTGAGTGTGATTATTTTTTTATGTGAGACCCACTTAAAAAAAACAAATAAAAACATGTGGAACTTGCTTTTGAATATGACGTTTTGTTTTGTGTATTAAATGAGTTGTATGTTTTTTTTTTGAAAAAAAAAGAAGCTTTACTCTTGAAATATACTATTTCTAATACCTTAAATTGCATTCTCTTTATTTCTATTTTTTTTTAGACTTAGAAACCATTAGTTTTATTTTTCTTTTGTGTTGTAGACATGTGGAAATAGTTTTTTCTTAGTAAATACAAAATCAACGGCCAAATGACACCATTGAAGACAAAATTATTTGAAAGGACTACATGAATAGATGGAGCTATCATAGGGGTTATACTTGCATTGGAAAAAAATGAATGGACCCCATTAAAAGAATTAGAAAGTACAAGGACTCCTGGACTAATTAACGGATTCCCCTATACTCCTTAAATTTTATTTGGCTAGGGAGATTTTGAAATTTAATTTG